ACATGTGAAAAGGGCATACAAGCTTTTTGTAAACAAACATGTGTAGGCCATTTTCTCGCCAACCGAGTGGCGCTCACGCAAACCAGCAATATCATCGGGAAGGGGAAAGTGTCCCCTACACGGTGATGTTAAAAGTTTCCGTTGGTGTCATATGGGTGGCGAGAAAAGGGCATACGAAGGTTTGTTTACAAAAAGCTTGTATGCCCTTTTCACATGTTGTTCTGGAAATACACTGGTTATATCTAATAAAAATATATATGGCAAAGAGCCTGGCTATCTTGTTGGTGATTCTATATTGACGAATCCAACTTAAACTAATGCGCGCCTGGTGACAGGAATAAGCATTATCCGACGGTGATCAGCTAGTGACAGCCCTTGGAAATTTCACTATTTTAATGGAAATTTGTTAAATTACAGTGCTAGTCCGTGTAAATATGCTATTAAAATGAATGAATCTTGTACAAAACCTAAAAAAAGTATCGTGATATGTGTCGATCCTAAAATAAAAATTACTATGCAGGATGCAGGAATTTCGTTGGTTTTATCATGTTTGTTCTACGATTTTTGTTTTATTTCAATGCTATTTCAATAATTTAGCACTTAAATATCTATCACTTACCAGAGAAGAAAGGGTTTCCACTCGGTTATATGCCTGGTGATCAGGCAAACTATCCAATGCCGTCTGCGACACAGGCACTTTTGGTACTGCCTTTGTTGTCCCGCTCGTCTGAATCTACCAAACCAGGCGTGATTACCTCCTAACGGTTTCGCAGCGGATTCAGCTATAAGAAAGATGATGTTCCTGCGTATGGAACAATATATTGTTTTGATTGCTTCAATATGTAAAATTGTTCTAACAACTCACCTCAAACAGCAAAATTAATTGATATAATTCAATTTCCGATGAGACGATCCTTCAGCATTACATTCTTAAAAATTAGGATTTACTTAAAGGGTGTCCACGATGAAATTGCCACACTATGAAATTGCTCTAACTTTTTAACCGTTGGGTAGAATTTAATGAAAATTTGGGTGGATTTAGTTCATAGTGCATTATTTACATCCTGCAAGTTTTAAAGTCCTGTGATCAAAACTCGCGGAAATGAAGTCGAAAGAACAGCTCGTGCGTGATAAAATCTTGCGCATTCATCACGAGAACAAGGATCTCTCGCATCGTTCCATCGCTAAAACGTTGGGAATCGCGAATTCCACGGTGTCGCGAGTGATTAAGCGGTTCGAGGAACGGTTGACCACCGATCGGAAGCCCAGAAGTGAAGGAAAAAGTATTCCGTACAACACCAAAAATCACCACCGCGTAGTTGGGGCCTTCAACCGAAATCCGAACGCCTCCGTTAGGGATGTGGCTAAGAAGCTGCACCTAAGCCGAAGTTTTGTCCAGAAGGCCAAAACTAAGGCTGGGCTTCGAACGTTCAAGGTACAAAAGGCCCCTAATCGCGACGAGAAGCAGAACAAGTCCGCCAAAACCCGTGCCAGGAAGTTGTACCTCAACATGCTGACGAAAGTTGAATGCTGCATCATGGACGACGAAACATATGTGGCAACCTGTTTTTCACGGCCAAGGATAAGTTCAGCGTTCCGGAGCATGTCCGCACTCAGAAGATGTCCAAATTTGCGAAGAAATTCCTGGTTTGGCAAGCCATCTGCACGTGCGGGAAGCGGAGTGCACCTTTCGTGACCCAGGACACGATGAACGGACAGGTGTACATAAAAGAGTGCCTCCAGAAGCGGCTGCTTCCTCTCCTGAGGGCCCACAACGTCCCAACAATCTTCTGGCCGGATTTGGCCTCATGCCTACTACTCCAAGGACGTGCTGAAGTGGTATGCGGACAATAAGGTCAATTTCGTGCCGAAAATGTTCAACCCTCCCAACACTCCGGAGCTCCGCCCCATCGAGAAGTACTGGGCGATTAAGAAGCAGCACCTTCTTAAACGACCTAAGGTAGTGAAGACAGTCGAGGAACTGAAGAAAGTATGGGTTTACATGCAAAAAACGATTGATTCACAGGTTGTGCAGAATCTTATGGCCGGGGTTAAGGCCAAGGTGCGGGCATTTGCGTATGGACTGTAAATAAAATACGAGTAAAATGGTCAAATGAAGTTTAATAGTTATTTCTCAATCCCTGAAAATTTGATGGCAATCGGATGAAAACTCGAATTTTGCGAATCAATTTTGTGTGTGGCAATTTCATCGTGGACACCCTTTACCATTCTTATCGGCGCTACTTTTCTGTTCATATTTGCTTTCTGTTATTGAATAAAGTAATTACAATAACAAGTAAAACATAGTTTTCTTATCACAAACTTGAAAATATATGCAGTTTGACAGATGATCTCAAGTTCATCACCGCCACGATTACAGCGCCGCGGTGGCCGGCATAAGCTTGGATTAGTCAATTATTTGTGTATTTGCATGCTTGGCATACACAGTTGTACTCACCAACTGCTCATTTGCTAATAACTTCGCACACAGTTGACGTAACATAGTTATTTTTTAAGCAGTAGATATAATAGAGTTTAAGCTTGTTATAGATAAAAGTAGATTTTAATTCTAATAATAAACTGTATTTGTTTTTGCGTTGTAAAAATGACGTGAGAAATGCTCGCTGCACATCTCGTACTTTACGTGTAGAAAATCATTGGCGTTGATTCAAATGTTAAGAGTTACCTACTCTTTGCATATCTATAGTAAAATATGATCCTAATCTATCAATTACTGTAAAGAAAAACAAATTTCAACAACTGAGTGAAAAGTTATTAACAAATGAGCAGTTGGTGTGTACAACTGTGTATGCCAAGCATGTGTATTTGTATCAACAATCTTCTTGAGAAGCTGCGTGCTCCTAGTAAAAAAAATATCGATCTACTGAGTGTATTCAGCATGTGATAATCTTATATCTTTACTGATTTTCAGTAAAATGTTGTCATTTCGACAGAAGTTGGAATTGCTGTCTACAATCAGCAAAATTTTACTGATTTTCAGCGATTTAAATTTGGTGTGAGACGGTGGTGCGTACGTTTGCGACTGTTTGACAGTTCATTACTGTGGACACCCAAACCGTTTATGTTAGCTGTATTTTTCGGTAAAAAATATCCTTTGCTGTCTTTCAGTAAAGCATTGCTTTGGTGATCGTGATCCAGCAATCCGTTTTACTGAAATCTACACACTTAAATTTTTTTCTCCGAGATTCCAACAGCCGAGTAATTTTGCAATTTATTTTGCTGAGATTCAGTAAAAAAAAATTGCCGAGACTCAGCTAACAAATAACATTTTGCTGAGATATCAACTGATAAACAGATATTTTGCAGAGATATCAGCAAAAGTAAATGCCGAGGTAATCGGCTGTTGGAGATTTTACCGAGCTAGATTAAGTGTGTAAATCTCAAATTTGGTGTGTACAAACTTATTCTGTTTGCTGTTTGATCAAACTTCTGGTGTTGAATCTGGAAGCTATTGGATCATTCGTGACTTGTCCGGTGGTGAGATTTGAACTCATGACTTTAGAGTGAGAGATATGGATGCTAACCTCTACACCGGGGTCGCTCCCTACACGCAATGAGGTACAGAGAGAGGTGAAGCAGATCGTGAAATATGGTTGTATAAGTAAACCAAAAAATCAACGTAAACGCAAGTAGTGACGTCACTACTTGCTTGTATCGTACAGGGGTTTTACTCACACAACTTAATCGATTGCTTCACCTCGGTAATCCAGCTCATTGCCCTACACGAACTTGTCGACGCCCTCGATTTCGTCACCGTCAATCTGAACTCGGGGTGGGAGGCTAACATTGTCTTCCCTAGAACCTCTTCCTATAATGTATTTTGTCTCCGCCATCGTCTTAACGTTCCGTGCCATGATGTCGATGTCATCGGCGAAGCCAACAAGCTGGATGGACTTCCTGAAGATCGTGCCACTCGTATCTATCCCAGCTCTTCTTATCACACCAATGGAATCGCACTTGTTTAAAATAGTTACAGTGCACCATTTTTAATGTACATTACTTTTATGCAACTACCTCAATACCCCTAAGAATCCAATTAAATCAAAAGTCGTGATTGTTTTTTTTTTGTATGACACCAGCAGTAAAGTTTATTTGTATGTTTATCGGTTCTTTGTCGGAAATTCTAGATGCTATCTTTGAGCTTTACAAATAATGACATAGCTTGCAATATAATCCTATTGTTTCTTTCCACTTGAACTGTTGGTTCGATTCTTACCATCATTTTTTTTCGTTTTTCATTCATCCGTAAGACATATGCATTTGCTTTGTAGCTCTTGCTATCTATTTAATAGTTATCTATTACTGTCTCTTACTTATCGATTCTGTATGATGAAACACATTCGTCATTTTCTTTTTGTAGTAGTATGTAGATTTTTTTTTATTTGTGGATGTTCTGCAGTTTGAGAGTTTAGAGTAAAACAAGGAACGTATAGTAATGTTTAAAATAAGATCACCTAAAGAAAAAATATAATTCAAATGCATTACAACACATTCGTCGCACTCAAACAAAACCAGATTTACGTGAGATTTTATTCCGATTGTGCATTAACCTGGTTCAAAATTTAAAACGTGCCTTACTTAGAATAGAGGAAAAAATCTGTTGTCCGGTACATATAATACTTTAAATTTTGTAAAAGTCACTAGTACGTTTAAATGATCGCCATATTTATGCCTTATGCCAAACAAGTTAGTTGGAATTAATCATCACTCGAGGCTTATTGTAGAAACGAAAATATCGTTCGAAGAGGAACGCTCAACATTTCCCTCCGAGTTCTGTTCTGGAGCGCACCGGGGAGCAGGATGAATCAGTCAGTCGTTTGCAACTTTTCCTCTCATTCAGGGCCTCGGGGCAATGGTTGATCTTAAAAATATCTTCAGGCTGAAAATGCATCGGTCTCGAGTTCGAATAGGAGTTTTATCAATATAACGTCGTCGGGTTTATAATAGTATAACGTCGTATGAGTGAGTTTGTGTCTTTCTGTTATAAATGTACTTCTATAGTTTGTTTAAACGTAAACACTAGATATAGTAAACACTAAACGCTAGCTTGTCGAATTCATTCCCAGGAGATTTTTCACAGCTTCGTATTATCGTGAACCCCCGTTAATCTGAACGACACTTCGTGCATATTAACGGAGTACATTTTTAATTTGAACTTCCAGTAAACCTACGACCATCAGAAAAGGGAGTTTCTGGTAGCCTTATTTGCTGTTTTGTTTTGATTCTGCGTTCCGTTTCGCTTTACTCTATTCCATGTGCTAGATGACGTTTGAGCAATTTTTAGTTTGCACGGTGTGCAGATTAGCGGGGTTCAAACTAAAAAGTGTTCAGATTAAAGATTACCGGGGGTCCACGGTACGTGCAATTCAAATACGCGCCAGTTCGATCCGGGTTGGGGTGGGGGGTGGTGGGGAAACAATGCCTAAAATAGTCACAGTATGCGGTCAACATAAGGGCTCGCCATCTCTCTCTAGACGCTTTCTAATACACACTTATCGATGGAATCTAGATTCATAGTCTTTCAGTTCTGAAAAAGAGAAGAGAAAACGTAGCTGTTAATGATCGGACTGTTTGATTGGGACCCTATCAAACGGCGGAAACAAAAAGGCCGAATCACAAAAGGCAGACCTTCTAAACCACCAGAACAGAACATTAACCCTTTCCTTCCCGGAAGGTTTTTCTTGTTTTGAGTTGCAGATATTTGTTTAATAAAAAGTGCTCGAACAAATGATCTTCTACAGAGCCTAAAATGATCTAAACAGTAAACCAAGTTCTTGTTTAAAAAAAGTAGAAGGTTCTGTGCCTAGGAGCACGAAAGGAAGCTTTACGTAGGACCGCTTGTGGAAGGAATAAATGTGAAGAGCATTTAGTTCTTTTAATTGATCAATTATCTATTATCTCAACTCTTTCCATTTTTGAATTGTAGGCAAATTTGTAGTAATCTTTTTCAAAGAGAAAGTTGATTAAGAGAATCAATCAAAATCACTTGCACCCCTGCTTTCAACTTTGGTTACCAGGAACTCTGGAGAGCATTTTGTGTGGTCGTTGAGGACTGTGGTTCTGAATATGGACAAACATGCACAAATAAATTCTATTCCAACTCTATACTGATGTAAGCTTGATGGCCCTGAAAAGGGCCGTTTTATTGAAGAGGACATCCATGGCCACTTACGCTTGGCGTGTTTAGTGTAGGTGACAGCATCACGGATCTCATTTTTCAGGAACACCTTCAGCACACCTCGTAGATCAGACCAGAGATACGTTTGACACCACCACGGCGAGCCAGACGACGGATGGCGGTTATCTCGAAGAACTTTGCGATGACGCTTGGCGCCTCCTTTACCAGACCTTTTCCTTTACCTCCTTTGCCACGACCATTCAATTGTTGCTTGTTAGGTATGAAGGAGTGGACTAGCCACCACCTTCCTACTGCTGCTATTGCTGTTCACCACGCGAAGCGAAAATGAGCTAATGCCATACAGCAGTGCTATTTTATATCTTTTCAGGTTAAAGCAGAATGATGTGCAACCAAGTGGTATAAAAGCTACAAAGATTCCTCCCATTATCAGTATCATGCTATCAAGTAGTGACACTGGCTCTTTTCCTTTTGCGTACACGGCGAATGAGAACGACCCAAATTTGAGTTTAGTTCACAAATAATCGCCAAAACTGCAGGAACTCAGCGATGAGTAAATTTGTCTCATGGTTTCCTGTGGAAAACCTAAAAAATCTGCCAGAAAATGAGGAAATTGACGAAAATTTTATTCAGTCTCGGAGTAGTACCAATAGACTGAGTGAATTCAATCTTTACTTTTCTCAAATTCGGGAATTTTTCCCTGGAAAATCCTGGGAAAACATGAGGCAAATTTACTTATCGCTGAGTTCCTGCACTTTATTTCTTATTTCTGAGATAACTAAACTCAAATTTGGCTCGTTCTCATTCGTCGTGATATCACCTTGAAAGATATCGGCGCCGGTGGTTAGCGTGATTACCTCTCACCCCAGCAGGCCTGGGTCCAATCTCAGTCGGCGCCACCGGCATGTTCTAAGGCATAACATCTCTGATCACGCCTTCATTCGGGAAGTAAAACCGTTGGTCCCCGGTTGAGTTGATGGGTCGATTGGTAGGGTCCAGGCGTGGGAGCTGCCTCCCTGGCGTCGGTAGCATTGGAGCTCAGTACGGAAAACAAATCTCGCGTCACTTTTCAATAGGTCCTATCTACATTTATCGATTCTCTTCATCGACACTCTCTTTCGTAAATAAGTCGGCTTCACAAATGTTTCCTGTCGTCTTTGTCGAATTAGATGCTAGATTGTTGCTTCTTCCATCGAAAATATCCGGCCGTGGTGATGCAAAGTTGATCAAGGTTGATCAAAATAATTTGTACCCCTGCTTCCAGTTTGATTACATGAGCATTTTGTGTGATCGTTAGTTCTGAATATGGACAAACAGGCAGATGAATTCTATTCCAACTCTTTACTGTAATAAGCTTGGACCCCCATATAGAAATCAAAGACGTAGTCCTACGTCAAAAAAACGAAGTTCGCTAGTATGGACTAGCAAAGTGTTACGGTTTTTATCTCAACAGACAATAATTGACTAGTACTGTCGCCCATTTTGAACTTCTATTCAATTTTCACACTGCCGTACTCTAGCGCAACTGTTGGTACGGCCAAATAAAAAGGCGCGGCACTGTTATTGAACAGCGTTTTATTCCTATTAGGATCGCTTCAAACTAGAAATTTAAGTTAGGGTTACTTTAGCAATGTAGGTTTAGATTTATAGGTTACCACTTACAAATCAGTGGCCCTTCCTTCACAGGCCTTTTCACTGGCTGTCCAACTTAGCTTTATAGTACGTTCAGACTGCAGAGTTATAACATGTTATAGCGCTATCTTGATGATGGTTTCTGTGGTGCAACCGTGACTTAAACAAATCATTGATCTTTCGAGATACTTTGAAAACTCACACTTTTTTAAGCTTGATACATTTTATGATTTCAAAGCCCTAGAATTTATTCAGTGACAGAGATTAAAGTCACCAAATGCTATCTGAATGAATAGGTTATAAGACAGAATTGTGAAGGCAACAATTATTTAATTAAAAAAAATCAGAAAAAAATGAACTTGATACAAATGAGAATTAGAAGAAATTGTCAGGGATATCGGATATAAAGAAAATGTGTCTTCACTCCGTTGTCTATACTAACATAAATATTAAATTTCAGGACTCGGGCTGACGTACACAGTTAAACACGAAAAAAAAAATCAGTCCGCATCGTGCTCTCTTGTCGTGCGGATCTATTTGCTTTTTGCTGAAGGAAGTGTTACTTCTACCTAAAGCTACAACAAATTTAAACAGCACTTTTCAGTGCTAAACCTGTAAAATTTCTACCTTCTTTCAACTCTTATTCCTCTTCGATCCTTATTTGGACCCTATCCGAGGTAATCCTTCTTAGATATCGATTTGGAAATTTCCTCTTCGATCCTTCAGATTCTTATAGTAAACTGCATGGAAGTCGATTTGGATAAAAATTTACTGCCGCGCCATGGCGCCTAAACGCAAAAGAAAGGGGCAAACTCTTTATCCCCCTTCTGATGACATTAATTTGAGTAATCAATTTGATTTGCTCACGGATGATGAGAATGATCCATCATCCAAGAAAAATTCTAGTAAACTTTCCCGGTTTAATGCCAAGAAGGAAAAGATTCCCCCTATTGTGATAACCACTTCCGATTTGAACTTCGTGAAAGTTAAGTTTTCACTACAAATTGGACGTCGGGGTGAATGCCGTGTATTGGCTGAAACCTTGTACGGATTTAAATGTCTTCTCAAGTATCTTACTGAGAAGCAGCACAATTTTTTTACTTACGACACCAAAACTGAACGTATGTTCAAGGTTGTCATGAAAGGACTGCCCAGTGGTGAATCCCTTGATCAGATCAAAGATGAACTGGCAAAATTACTTGGAGTTGTGCCACTCCAAGTAATCAAAATGAAAATTAAATCCCGTCCTGGCGATTCACGCAACGGGATTTCCAATGATTTTTATTTAGTTCACTTCAAGTCTAGTGAACTAAACAACCTTAAGACCTTGGAAAAAAGCTAGCCTTATGCTCCATGTCCGAGTGAAGTGAAGGAAGAAATTTAAATGTTCAAATTGTGGTGAAAACCACAAATCCAATTTTTGGGAATGTAAGACTCGCAAAGCGATCCTACAATCTCGTTCTAAGCGACAGGTAGGAAACGCTCCACGTTTCCGACCAGGTACAAATTACTCTGTTGTTAACAACGGTAAGCGAGAAAATTTTCCTTATTAAATAGTTGTATAGATTTTGCTCCTTTAGTTAACTTAAATCTTTGGTTTTTATTAGTTAGGTAGGTTCCGATTCAACGCATTGTAGTTTCATTTTTATACCTGTGATCTTGACTTTTGACGTAGAACTACGTCTTTGTCTATCTTTTCTTCTTGTTCGCATTTCAAGCTTATCGCTTAGCGCATATTAGCTTATTGCGTGCTCTCAACTTAGTGTTCTAAATGCACTTCCACAGTTATTAATTGAGAGCTTTCGATGCCAATACCAATGCATGAGTTTGTATATTGTGTGGCAAGCACAATGATACTCTATGCCCAAGGGAAGTCGAGAAAATTTCTAACCCGATAGATTCCCTCGACCGGACCGGGAATCGAACCCGCCGCCTCCGGCTTGGTAATACCGTGCCTTTACTGACTAGGCTATGAGGCTCCCTACGTTTTTGTCTATACTGGGGTGCAAATCAAAAAATATGTGTGGTGAAATAGTGTTAGGTTTTGAACGCTTGTAACATTGTCATTTAAAAATGAAAATAAAATCCAAATACGCCAATCGATAGGATATAACAAATCTGCTGAAATAAATATTTTTTTTCAATTTTCCACAAAAAACATTTGAAAAATGTACAAATGATAATTTTATCTCTGTTTTCATGAAATAAACGATTTTCCCTAACCCAGTCGTCATAATCGAGTACCATTTGGTTGTACATCGTTCTGCTGGAACCTGAAAAGATATAAAACAGCGCTGCTGTCATGTCTCTGCTCATTACCGCTTCGGACGGCGTGGTCAAGTCAGCGGAGTAAGGTGGATCATGGCGTGACCACCTATCATAATGAGGAAATGAGAAACTTGGAAAAGTTATTCACGCAAAACACCCCCTCCCCTTGGTCTTAACTGATTCATGTCGACTTTGTAGCCAATTGGTTACTCATGCTGACTTCGGTTCTGATCACCTTCCAGTAACTTTTGAAATATCCCAAGAAATAATTTCTAATCCCAACAGCTCTACTTTCAGCCGGCGCCGGTGGTGTAGTGGTAAGCGTGACTGCTTTCTAACACCCCGATGGGTCTGGGTTCAATCCCAGCCGAGTTCGGTGGGATTTTTCTGAGGCATAAAAATCTCTAGTCAGAGATTTAAAGAAGTAAAGCCGTTGGTCCCGGCCCATGTGTATTGAATGGGTGCGATATCCTACGCAGGTGTGGAAGCTG